GCGATCGAAATGTCGTGGGGTTTTATTTGCATTTATTATTTTCAATTCAATTCAATTTGAAATTTTACTTGACTATTTTTATTGTTTTTTTGCTTTCATTATTTCAATTTATTTTTATTATTTTGTTTACTATCTACGTGAATGTGAATTCCTGCAGTCACAAAAGTTTTCAGTCAAAATTCACGGCGAGTGTTTATTCGGCGAGGCATGAAAGCGCAGCGCCCGTGGAAAAGCCACGTGGAGGTTGTGCGTAAGCAACAGATGGCGATTAGTCCACTTTGCTTTCTCCTGGCGAGCCACAGGTAGGGCACGTCTTGGACGCCCACTGTAAGGGAGTTTCACAACATCTGTGTTGCGATCCACCAATCCTCACTGCTGCCTTCAGGGTGCTGGGTGGAAAATGCATGCACATTTTTGGGGGGGAGGGGAATTTCTGATAGCTCACATAGTCACGTGTTTATTCACGTGTTATCGGGCTCACACATGTGACCGCCACATGTGTCACTAAAAAAAAAACCTCCTGAGTTGATCTCACGAGATATAGCCGGATTAATAAATTTTGTCACATATATTCTCCACAACTACTCGAATGATTATTTCGAGTTTTGCTTTACCGTGTCATTCAAAGTAACCCACAAACGCCACCTCGTGAAAGACCCAAGGCAGAAGATGCCTGGGTTTGATCTTCCACGAAGCTCATGGTCCACCCTAAACCGCATGCCACTGCACAAACCACGGCAGTAGATGCGGATACCCGATGCACGAATTGAAAATGTAAAACTCTCCGGTAGGAGTGGTGCGACGGTGGTCCTCCAGAACGCAGCGTACAGCGCGTAACATCGCAACGCCCCGATCCACAAATACGAAGGAGACGTCGCAGCGATGATGATAACGATGATGATACACTCCCATGCTGCTGACGCGGCGATCTGGCTTGACACACCTGCACGTGATATTGTAGTTTATTGCTCTACAATCTACATCAGCCGTGAAAAAGAAGAAGTTTGGGTCGAATCACGCACCCCATAGTGCAAAGAGATAGAGAGGCGGGAGTCCTTGCCTGGAATGTTCACCAGCATTGTTTCAAGCAACAAGCCTCACTGCTGATGAGACGCCGCGTATCGAAACCGCTCCAGAGTTTTGCTCGACTTGAATAAATGCTGCTGAAATTATGCACTCGGCCTGATTCTATTGGATTTTTCCAGTTTAATAAAAAAAACGGAGCGCATCCTTGGAATAAGAAAAGGGACAAAGATCCACCCTGTAGCCTCCATAGGCCGTTGGGGCAAGTGCTGTTAGCGAGCACAGATGAAAGCCGGATCGGCACACGAGGCGGAGGGTGAGCGACACCACGCCCGGCCGCCTTTGTCTCCCCAGTGGCGATGTTTACACATCGCACCAGGCACTCGCGTAAGGTTGAGTTGACCTAAGGGAGGTCCGACACCGGTTCAGATCATCGTCTCCGATTTTGTTTTGCCAGTGATAAACCTAACTCGGGTGGTCAGCTTCGCAGCGCAGTGCGCTAACCGCTGCGCCGCCGCTCCACACATCCTTAATGCACACGCAATAAAACGTCCCTTTCAAATGGCAGTCCATCACATCATCATGATCATCATCAGTAGCTGCAGTAGCAGCAGCAGCAGCAGCAGCAATGGTCTATCCACTGCTCGATGAAGGCCTCCCCAAGTCGTCGCCATCTCTCACCTGTGATGGGAACGATGCAAGAAGGATCGTCAATAAATAAAGGCAACGTCTCCACACCGTGGCCCCAAACACTCGTAAGCCAAAACCATCGTTTTATTGTCACTTCTGTTTTTATATATCTTTATATATATTTACACAATCATCAACCACACGCAACGCATGGCATTTCAATTCCGTATGTACAAGCAACAAGTGTGCGTGTGCGTCCGTGTTCCGTGTGGCATTGTGTGACCTCCTGCCAGCGGGCGTTCGACACTTCACGTGGCCTCAAGGTGCACATGGCCTGGCACAAGCGTCGTGGTGACGTCACCGCCACTTAGTGGCGAATGGCGGTTGTTGTTGTTGTTGTGTGGTATTTGTGCTCGCTAAGAGCACTTGCCCCGACAGCCTGCATGCCTATACGGGGGGGGGGGGGGGACGGGGGGGGGGGTCCGTTTGTCTGTGTGTGTACGTGTGTTTGTGCGCACAAATAATGCAACAGATACCCATTTGAGACTAATTCGACGTCAGCGAGGCACAGGCCAATCCCAGGTGCACACGTGACAGCCAAGGTAAACTATGTTACACTCTTGCTTGCACGTGGTATCCGAACATAGCCGGTAGCCTCCCCTTAGCTCGACTCAGCCTCAAATTATTAGTAAGTAGCTAGTGCAGTGTGTGAAGACATCAGCGGAGGAGAGACAAAGGCGGACGGGCGTGTAAAAGCTGTCAACGCCATCCCACCAGGTTCCATATTGGCCTTAATCATAGGTGCTCGTTAACAGCTCTGTACCCCAAACAGTCTGTATGGCTGTATGGGTGACCGCTGTCTATGTGTTGATACGCATGTGTGTGTGTGTGCGCGCGTGTTCAGTTGCATACATAACCGTAGTAAAAGCATTTTTGCAATTACAAAAATAAATATTAATAACAATACCGCAGGACTTGCCATGACATTAAAATTCACAAACGCTCCAAAATGAGTTCTTCCAATATTTTACAAACTTTTTTTTTATATATGTCATATTTATATAATTTTCCTGCATCCTCCCCCCCCCTCATTTTAAATCAATAGAACTTTATATCGCATTACAAAACATGTTATTCTTTCCTATTTGTGTTTTGTTTGTTTAAATACCGTGTGTTGTTTTCAAGTCCCCTTCACACTAGAGTGACCAGTTGCGCCTCTCTCTCGCTCTCATTCCGTGTGCTGTGAAGTAAGGGCCATTGCCCGAAACGTCGCCTATTTTATAGGCCTCGTCTTTAAAGGCCACCGTGTTATTGACACACGTGTTGCGTTCTTGTTGTTGTGCTTTTTTATTTTACCAGGTAAGGCCCCACTGAGCTATGTAGCTCTTTGTTCAGAAGCCACCTGGCCACAAATTATAGCTCAACAAAGTGGCTTATTACGGGCAAATTTAGAGCATCCAAATACTCTGAACGGGGTGTTGATGATTCCAAATGTGGACGTAAAACCCGGAGGGCCCGGAGAAAAATCCACGCGACCACGGGGAGAAAGAACACGCAAACTCCAAATATACAGCAGGCGTCAGGGTCTGGATCAAACCCACGACCTCCTGTATACCGGGCGAGGTAGTTAACATCTCCTAGCCACTCTGGCTTGTGCACCACGCAGCAAGAGCATCACCAAATAATTCGCTGATATTATTCATCATTATTATTATTACTGGGCTTGTTTAGGATGGGAATCCTCATAGCGTCTCAATACCCTTTTTGTAGTAGGGGTCTTGCCAAGTTTTCGCAATAGGGTGGCGCTAATTGCTATTCACATTCCAATTGAGTAATTAGCAGAGTGTAATCCTTCATATTTTTTTCGCCGAATATATACCCCGGCGCCGTGGGGACATAATGGCCTACTGCTTGCGAACGACGCCACGCGATTTTTAACGTCCGCTATGTGCGAAGCAAGCGGACACGCGTAATTATACCGCAGTATTAACCAGGGCCGCCGCCGCTTTGCACTGCAAACGGGCGGCAAACGCACTGACGCTGGGCCGTGCCTTATATGTCGACATCTCTTGCGAAACAAAGTTGCGAGCGGTTGCGCACAAACGGTTGCTGGGAGTTGCCAACCACCGGTTGCGAGTAGTTGCCCGCAACCGGTTGCGACGAGTTGCGTGCAACCCCGTTGCTCACAGTAGACACAGGATCGACTTTCGAGCGTCGATCTGCTCGGCGATTTTGTAAAGAGACGTCACCAACCACGTGACGCAGTTGTGAAACAACGATTGGTCGTCACGATCCTGAACACGCCCATTAATTGACTCGCTGTGCAAGTCCTCGCTCAAACGTGGACAAATCAGTTGCAGGCAATTAAGTTGACGACGATGATGATGATGATGGTAACGATGATGAATTACCATCAATCTAAGAACTGGTATTTGGCATATGATGGTGTTTTTTTTTTACGACAGTAAATGTTTGTACGCTGCACTGAGCTTTAGTTGATAGCGCAACTCTCCGCTCGGATGCGAACAGAGGAGTTGCGAGCTCTGAGCTGCGTGACACTTTTGAGAAGGATTTGATTGCGCAACTGACTGCTCTGGTGTGGAGTCGACTTTACTCTCTCGCTCTACATCGCTCCCTCTCTCTTCCTCTCGTTTGTTGGAAATAAATTCTAATTATAAATTAATAGCACGTTCATTAATTAACCTGAGACAATGCATTTAATCTACAGATACAGAAAATAACTACTTTTCGTGTAGCAATGTACAAAAGTTGAAGATGCACTCTCCCCGTCTTCTTCATCATCATCATAAGTCTCCACCTCTTCCTCGCGGTGAGAGGGGGAGGGTGAGTGCCATTGTGTGTGAGTGTGATTGTGTGTGAGTGTGATTGTGTGTGTGGGTGAGTGTGGGTGAGTGTGTGTGAGTGTGGGTGAGTGTGGGTGATGGTGAGTGAGGCTGTATGTGGGTGTGAATGTGTGTGAGTGAGGGTGAGTGTGGGTGTGATTGTGTGTGAGTGAGGGTGAGTGAGGCTGTATGTGGGTGTGATTGTGTGTGAGTGAGGGTGAGTGAGGGTTTATGTGGGTGTGAGTGAGGGTGAGTGAGGGTGTATGTGAGTGTGATTGTGTGTAAGGGTGTGTGTGTAATTGTGTGCGAGTGAGAAAGAGTGTGTGAGTGTGATGGTGAGTGTGTGTATGTGAGTGTGGGCGGGTGTATTGCATGTGTATGTATTTGTGTGAAACACAAACCCGAACCCACCCCTAGGTCGACTCAGCCTCAAATGAGTACCTGGTGCGATGTGTAAACATCGTCATTGTGGAGACAAAGGCGACCGGGCGTGGTGATGGCCACCCACCTCCTCGTGTGCCGTGCCGGCCTTCATAGATGCTCGCTAACAGCACTTGCCCCAAAAGTCCGTTGAGGCTATACGGGGGATCTTTGTCTTGTAATGTGTGTAACGTGTGTGTGTGTACACGGGCGTGCATCCACGCACAGTAATTGGAGCGTGCAGTTCATCTATCTGGTGATACAGCGACCTCTGCCTGAAACACATGTTGGCACAGCAACACACACACACACAGACACATACACACGCGCACACACACAGCAACACACACACACAGATAAATGCACGCGCATATATACAGCAACACTCACACACACACGTGCACACACGTATAGCAGCCCACCCAGACACAATGGTAAAACCAGCAATACACATACATACATACAGACACACACACAGACAGCCATACACATATGTAGCAACACACATACACACGCCCACAGATACATCAACACACACAGACACCAATACATTCAGATATATACAGCAACGCAGGGCAAACGGACATACATACAGACACACACATACATGCATCCATACAAAGACAGACACACACAGAACGAACACACACACACAGATACACATACTGTTCATACACACACAGAGACCCACATCCACATACACACAAAAACAAATAGACACACAAAGACACACACAGAGACCCACATCCACATAAAAACAAATAGACACACAAAGACACACACACACAGACACACAGACACGCACAAATACGCATACATAAACAGGAACACACATACACGTACATACACACACCAAAACAAATAGACACACAGACATGCACAACAGATATATAATATATACAGACATACACAGGGACACATACAAATGCATACACACACCAAAACGAACAGATAGACACGCAAAAAACAGACACACACAGATAGGTCAGCTTTAAGTGCAAGCATCGATTCATTTTAGTCTTAATGTTAATCCGTGCGAATGCGTGTTAATTGTGTTTGTTTGTGTTGAATACACTGTGTGTGTGTGCGTCGTAGAAATGTGTATCTGTACGTTTATGAGTTGATATATGCATCGTTTCAAGGTGCACCAGTCCTGGCACAAGCCCAGCCTGCCACAAGCTCCGTCACCGCCACTTAGTGGCGAACAGAGGGTTGTTGGTTATATATTGATCTTAGCTTGCAATAAGACATATTGAAAACAGCCCTTAATTCAAACAGAACACCATCTATGAGCCAAACGTACTTTATACGAGCATAGAGTGCAATGTGGAACTACTTGCCCCCGTCATAGGAATGTAGAATGTACACCACTGGCTCAGCAATGTAATAGGAACGATCGCTGAATGTAATGTATATGAACGAAAATAAATCATCATTGTGCTGCACTATGCTGCAAAGTCTATGCTCCCCACCGTCACCAACCCACACTGACCAGCTGCGGTGAGGTATGGCCAAACGACCCCCACGTGAGAAGGTGCGACGGCGTGGGGAGGCCTTCATCCAGCAGTGGATTGACAGAAAAGGGCCGTTCATAATTATTACACAAGTTCACTGAGAAACAGTGAATCCAGCACATTACATCTTATATTTTACCTACACTAATTATAAAATGCAACAGGTGTGTCAATAATATTATACGGCCCTGAACGATAAAAAATATATATAATCGGCGACGTTTCGGGTCATGACCACTTCTTCATGTACTATGAAGAATGGGGCCAGTGAATTATTATTATTATTATTATTCAGGCGCAGCCCTGCAATTCCCTGCTCATGCCACTGCTATCAGAAAGGCCTCCACGAGAGGAATCTCTATCGAGCCTCCCGTTTGAGGATATTTGGCCTACTCGTCCTCGCTGGCCAGAGGTCATGGAAGTGGCTGAGGCACCCACGCTTATACCCCACCACCCATAACCTACCTGCCGATCGGATGAACCACTCATGCCCGATAGCCGCGGTGTACAACGACAATGTACTCGCACGTAGCCGAAAGCCGTGCTGATGGGATGCGCGTGCCGTGCGTGCGAAGCGTCGGACGTGGGTTTGTGATACACCGTTGCGATGAGACTTACCGCAATAAAAACCTTTTGAATAAGGCAGTCGTGTAAGAGCGCGTTCTATACGAGGCAATGGCGGTTGTCCTTTGAATCTGAAATACACAGACACATGAGTAAAGTTCATAATAGGGTTTTGTTGGGTGGCTAGATCGCGTAAATATAAATGTGTCCTTAAACCGTCGCGACACAGCCAATCAGTAAGGTTCGTGTCACGTAAACAGAACGTGCCAATTCGTTACTGGCACAGAAAAACACCCGTTCGTGTGTTGGAGAGCGAATCCACAACATTTACAATCTGAGTACAAGGAGTCAAGTTGTAACGCGAGGAACGGTGGCTCAGCGCTTAGCGCAGTGTCCTGCACCATGGGCCCCGCTGATCCTCTGATATTCTCAGCCACGCCTAACAACTTTCCCCCTCCACCTCCCCCACCCACCTCCACACACACACACACACCCCCATTGACCGGCGCGGTAAAGTATGGTCAAACGGACACATGCTTTTGACGGTGCGAGAGGGGGGGGGGAGGCCTTCATCCAGCAGTGGATAATGTTTTGTTGATCCACTGCTGGATGACCATCGGGTCTCCCCCCAAGTCCGTGCGGGTTATGGGGGGCAGGGGGGGGGGCGTGGCGGGGGGGGGGGGGTGTTCGACCATACTTCACCGCTTTGGTCAGTGGAGGTTGGTGTAAAGGTGTCATTAAAGCGCAAGTTTTTTACTGTTGGGAGGAAATACGAAAAAATAAAGGATACTGTGCTTACACAAAAATAATAACATTCATGGCGAAAGTTAAACCGACATTAAAATCAACTAAAGTAAACGTGATGTGTAAACAATATAAACTCAACTAGAGCATTACAACTAAACTATATTTTATTTTATCAAGAAGAAACGCCCCATACCGAGCTGGCCGTCGCGGATGATAGCTCAACAAATTGTACTTCTCACGTGGCAGCCAAATACTCTAAACTCCTAATAGAGGGTATTTTGTTTGGGTTAGATCGCGTAAAAATATAATAAATGTGTCGTTACACCGGCCACCAGCCGACACAGCCAACGTGTAAGGGGTTTATCACGTCAACAGAACGTGCTGATTCGTTACTAGCACAGCAACATCGGGTGTGTCGGAGAGTAAGCCCACAACATTTACCATTCGTGCCCGACGTTTCGCCAGTAATTACAACTGAGCATTATCAGACGACGTGCTCGACTCCAAACGCGTTTTTCTAAACATGCGTAGAGAGCGATCTCTGTATCGATGGCCCATCGTTTCATGCCACCCCCAATCTCTCCTCGCACGTTCGAGTCAACAGCTGATGAGTCAATACCGCGGTGGAAAACACTTTGGCCCCGCATCTTCGCAAGATGTGAGAGTGGTAAATGATGTAAAAAGTGCACCGTGATTGGTGGGAGACGCGACCCTCTTGCAGGCATTTCCTCGCTTAACGCGCTTATCGCAGTGGTAGTAGATGCGTTCCAAAAAACGCGCACACAAAGCGAAACCGCACGAGGGGATAGCTGCCTGTCGAGTAGCACATACAGCACACACACAGTACATATAGTACACACAGTACATATAGTACACACACAGTACATATAGTACACACACAGCACATATAGTACACACACAGCACATATAGTACACACACAGTACATATAGTACACACACAGTACATATAGTACACACACAGTACATATAGTACACACACAGTACATATAGTACACACACAGTACATATAGTACACACACAGTACATATAGTACACACAGTACATATAGTACACACAGTACATATAGTACACACACAGTACATATAGTACACACACAGTACATATAGTACACACACAGTACATATAGTACAGCCACACACAGTACATATAGTACACACACGCAGTACATATGGTACACACAGTACATATAGTACACACACACAGTACACACACAGCACATATAGTACACACACACAGCACACATAGTACACACACAGTACACATAGTACACACACACAGTATATACACACACACAGTACATATAGTACACACACAGTACATATAGTACACACAGTACACACAGAACATACATTACACACAGTACACACACACAGCACATATAGTACACACACAGTACATATAGTACACACACAGTACATATAGTACACATACACAGCACATATAGTACACACAGTACATATAGTACACACACAGTACATATAGTACACACACAGTACATATAGTACACACACAGTACACACAGAACATACAGTACAAACACAGTACACACACACAGCGTTGTCCTATCTCCAACCACATAGCCGCATGAAGTTAATTAAAACCGCATCGAGCCACAATAGGTGAGCCGCATTTACGCGAAATCGCACAAACGCATAAATCGAGGGACAATTGAATATCAATGGTGCGGGAGAGGAGGAGGAGGGGGGGGATCTACAAGTGGCATTGGTAAAGGCGCAGCTCTGCAATTTCTCGCTGTGGCCACTCCCGCAGGAAGGGCGCCACTCGGTGTGCGTAAATCTTGTCGCCACGCCACCTGCCCTATCTGTTCACAAGGCCTGCGGCGGTCACCTATTTATGATGGGGTTATTTTACTCATTGCTAAACTTCGATTGTGTTTTTGTTACAGTTTTGTTGAGAAACAGGCTCGACGGTTGTTGTTGTTGTTGTTGGTTTTTTTTGCAAAACATTAAAGCGTGTGAGAAGCAGTGCGATTAACGTCGTAACAGTAAATAAATAAATTTTGATTTAAAGCTTTCGTGACTGCAGTAATTCATTTTCTTATCTCTTTCGGTAAAGTCACGTTGAAGGGACTTTACCGAAAGAGCTAAGAATATGAAATAAAAAAATAGGTTAACAGCTTTTATTTTTTAATTGAGCATAAAAGTGTCGCGATTTTTTGTTTGTTCCTTATTGTAATTATGATAGTTTGGGAAGTAAAGATAAGCTAGGAAAAGACAGAAATCTGGCCGTCGCCTGATGAAGCTGGTTGTAATTACTGGCGAAACGTCGTACTCAGATTGTAAATGTTGTGGCTTGGCTCTGCAACACTACCGGCGTGCTGTACTAGTGACGAATTGGCCACGTTCTGTTTACGTGATACAAACCTTACTAGTTGGCCGTGTCGGGTGGTGGCGGGTTTAACGACACAACATTTATATATTTACGCGATCTAACCCAACAGAAACTATATTTTATGAGACCTCCTTTGCCAGTAACAAGATATAGTAATAGGTTTTTAACCTTTTATCTGGCATAAAAACTGACACCTTTATACAAGGGATCATGTTTGCAATAACCACAACACAAGTAGTCAAAATGCAAACAAAAAAGACAACTCTGATAATATATAATAGGACAGTGCACATTATCAGAGTTATATTTTTTTGTTTGCATTTTGACTGCTTGTGTTGTGGTTATTGCAAACATGATCGCTTGTATAAAGGTATCAGTTTCTGTGCCATATAAAAGGGTAAAAACCTATTACTAGAAACTATATTATCAAAGAAGGCGTCGTCGACCCTCCATCCCATGGCGATGGTGGGGAGAGTCGGGAATTCCACATCGGAGAGGAACCTCGAGGCGAAGTCGAACTCTTTCGGATCCCCGACTGCCTACACATCCCCGCATCGCGAGCGCGGTCGTGCCGAGCATTTCGCACACCCCACGAACAGCAGCAGCAGTATCGCGATTATCATGAATCGAAAATAAATCATAGACTATTGGGATTTTATTTCGATTTAAAGCTTTCGTGACTGCAAGGATTCGTCTTCTTTGGTTCTTTCGGTAAAGTCACGTAGAATGAGAATAAGATAATAAATTGATAAAAATAAAATAACACAATAAAATTCTCACGACGTTTCGGCCACAACACAAGCGGCCTTCATCAGGTGAAGGGACGAGACTGTCTGGAGGACAGCGCTGGAGCGAACACAGCTTTTAGTGGGGTGTCTATAAATGTGGGGTGTCTATAAATGGATCGGGCGGGGTGGGTGGGGCTGGAGAGGGGGGGGTTTGCGTGCGAATTTGTAACACTGAAGTCTCGCCGCTTGAACAATCGATGTTCTTATCGCCTTATGTACGGACCATTGGACGTATTTGCCGAACAAGTGAGGCATGCCTTTTTTCGTTGAACTAAAAAAAATGTCATTCTCGCGCAAAGCTCCCCCCGTTAGTCTTCACCGATTGTGTATGGCAAGTGCTTTTGGCTACGTACGGTGCGAATCCGGCACGGTTACACCAGGGTATGGGTGGCCAGCACCACGCCTGGCCACCTTTGTCTCCCCAGCACCAGGTTACTCATTTGAGGCTGAGTCGACCTAGGGCAGCTCCAGGACCCGTTCAGATAATCGTCACTGGTGCTGGCCGCGAGCTGGAATCGAACCCGGGGTGCGGCAGCGCGCAAATCGCTACAGGAACGCCTCGAGCCCAACAGAGGCAAAGATCCCCCGTGTAGCCTTAACAGACTGTTGGGGCAAGTGCTGTCACCTATGATGGCTGGGAGAGTACACGAGTGGGTTGTGGTTGGCCAGCACCACGCCCGACCGCCTTTATCTCCCAGGTAGCGATGTTTTTTTTTCTTTCTACATCGCACTAAGTACTAATTTTGAGGCTGAGTCTACCTAGGTTGAGGTCGCCGGTTGTTAGCCGTGAGCGGGAATCGAACTCGGACCGCCGGGGTTCGTAGCGCGGCGCGCTAACCACTGCTCCACCGCTCCCCACGTTACGCAAACGTACATGCGTATGCACGTGTGCATTGATATGCGCACTCGTTCGCATGCAACACTCGCGGAACTGGTGAGAAGGTACACTCACAAGCGTGACACAAATACGCACAGCAGTTAAAAATACGCGCGGACACACCAACTTTCTATGCATGCGCTGCGTGATACGCGCACAAGTACTTAAACGCATGCAGACACTGCGACACATATACACACACGAACTATGCGAAACAAAGACAAAGATCCCCCGTATAGCCGTAGGAGAGCGTTGGGGGAAGTGCTGTTAGCGAGAGGCAGCACCGCACACGATGTGGTGGATGGCCACCCTACGCACACAAACACGCTTCCAAAACACCAGCTCAGATAATCGCCACTGATGTTAGCCGTAGCGCCAGTGCGCTGCGCCCATTAAAGCATGATAAGTGCACCTAGCCTGGCACAAGCGCTATGGTGGGTCACGTCACCGCCACTGAGTTGCGAATGACGGCTGTCATCGATAAAGCGCGCGATCGTCGTCGGCCATGGTCGATCCACTGCTGGACGTAAGCCTTCGCAAACCGTACGCCGCAGACAAACGTGCGTCATGAAGGGCCGTTGCCCGAAACGTCGCGTATTATACGTTGCATTGTTTAAGGCCACACCCGGTGTCGTTGACGAGTCTTTCGGGGTTATCAGACACTTATACAAACATCGCGTTGACCCTTTAACCTAACGCTGTAGATGATTTGGGGCAGTAGCATTAGTGAGCAACTATTACATACTGTATACACAAAGACAAAGGTCACCCTTGTGTAGCCTCTACCGGGCTGTTGGGGCAAGTGCTGTTAGCGAGCACCTACGTACGAAGGCCGGCACGGCACACGAGGTTGGGGTGGCGTGTGGCTAACTTCATGCACGGCCGCCTTTGTCTCTGCACAGTGCTAATGTTTGTTACACGTAACAACAGGTACTAATTTAAGGCTGAGTCGACCCAGGGGAGGCCCCGGACAAGCTCTGATGAGACTCGTCACGTATGTTAGCCTCGTGCACATTCAACAACCCACACATTAAAAAAGTGTTGCGTTCATATTACGAAGGCATAGATATTACAACTATAACGAATTGTAAATGTTGTTGATTTACTCTCCAACACAACGGTGGGCTGAAGTAGTAATTATTTGGCGTTTTGTTTACGTGACAAATCCCTTACTAATTGGCTGTGTCGGGTGGTGGAGGGTTACGACGCATTTACACTTCTGCGATCTAACCCAAAAACCTTTATTAGGAATAATATTCGTCGCGAAAGCCTACTTGTTAAACTAGAACGATACGTACGAAAAATGAATCCACAATCTCATTCGCTAATGACTCAACTCACCCAAACGACTTATTTACTCATACAATCACCCACATTCCAACAATGTCACTCACTAACCCATATACTCACCAACTCACTCACACACACACAGTACTCACTCACTCACACACAGATCTCACTCACACACAGTACTCACTCTCACACACAATACTCACTCACACACACAGTACTCACTCACTCACACACAGTACTCACTCACACACAATACTCACTCTCACACACAATACTCACTCACACACACAGTACTCACTCACACACACACAGTACTCACTCACACACACAGTACTCACTCTCACACACACAGTACTCACTCACACAGTACTTTCACACACACAGTACTCACACACACACAGTACTCACACACACACAGTACTCACTCACACACACACAGTACTCACACACAGTACTCACTCACACACAGTACTCACACACACAGTACTCACACACACACAGTACTCACTCACACACACACAGTACTCACTCACAGTACTCACTCACACACACAGAACTCACTCACACACACAGTACTCACTCACACACACAGTACCAACTCACACACGTACAGTACTCACTCACACACACAGTACTCACACACATACAGTACACACACACACACAGTACTCACTCTCACACACACAGTACTCACTCACACACACAGTACTCACACACACAGTACTCACACACACAGTACTCACACACACAGAGTACTCACTCACACACACAGTACTCACTAACACACACAGTACTCACTCACTCACACACAGTACTCACTCTCACACACACAGTACTCACACACACAGTACTCACACACACACACAGTACTCACACACACACAGTACTCACACACACACAGTACACACTCACACACACAGTACTCACTCACACACACACAGTACTCACACACAGTACTCACACACACAGTACTCACTCTCACACACACAGTACTTACACACAGTACTCACACACACAGTACTCACTCTCACACACACAGTACTCACTCACACACACAGTACTCACACACAGTACTCACACACACACAGTACACACTCACACACACAGTACTCAATCACACACACACAGTACTCACTCTCACACACAGTACTCACTCACACACACAGTACTCACACACACAGTACTGACTCACACACAGAGTACTCACTCACACACACACAGTACTCACACACAGTACTCACTCACACACACAGTACTCACTCACACACAGTACCCACTCACACACACTACTCACACACACACAGTACTCACTCACACACACAGTACTCACTCACTCACACACAGTACTCACACACACAGTACTCTCACACACACACAGTACTCACACACACAGTACTCACTCTCACACACAGTACTCACTCACACACACAGTACTCACACACACAGTACTCACTCACACACAGAGTACTCACTCACACACACAGTACTCACTAACACACACAGTACTCACTCACTCACACACAGTAATCACTCACACACACAGTACTCACTCTCACACACACAGTACTCACACACAGTACTCACTCACACACACAGTACTCACTCACACACACAGTACTCACACACACACAGTACTCACTCACTCACACACAGTACCCACTCACACACACAGTACTCACTCACACACAGAACTCACTCACACACACAGTACTCACTCACACACACAGTACTCACTCACACACAGTCCTCACTCTCACACACAGTACTCACACACACAGTACTCACTCACACACAGTACTCACTCTCACACACACAGTACTCACTCACACACAGTACTCGCACACACACAGTACTCACACACACAGTACTCATCCGTCTTACAACTCAAGATACTTAATCATTCACCCACTTAATCAATAGCCCATCAACTGACTCGCTCAGCCATCATCCACATACCCTACTCACCGATTCACCCACCCACCGACCCACCCATTTATTGACTAATCCACTCACCAGCCCACCCACCTTCCCTCAAGGGTCCCGATGTGTACCCGTGAGGCTCCTTGAAGCGACCCATCCGCCCATCCACCCATCCACTCACTCACCCACCCATCCACCCATCCACTCACTCACCTATTCACTCATCCACTCGCTGACCCACCCACCGCCTCACCCCTCTACTCAACCACCCACCCATCACTCATCTACCCACTCACCCACCTATTCACTCACTCAGTCACACGCTCACTCATCTACCTACTCACCCACCCACCGAATCACTCAATCACCCACCCATCCACTCACCTTCTCGCCCCTTCACCCATGAATTTATTCACTCAGCCACTCACCTTCACTCTCCCTCTCAATTTCTCACTCGTGAGATTCCTCACCCATCAACTCTACCACCCACCCCTCACTCACCAAACCTCTCACTCACTCAGTTGCTTACTGGTGAACTTACTCACGAACTCACCATATCACTCACCTACCCAGTCACTCATCCACTCACACACCCATTCACTCACTCGCGCATTTACTCACCCTCTCACCACCCATCTTATAACTCACCCTTTCACCATCTCACTCACCCTCTCATCCACCCACTCACCCTCTCATCCACCCACTCACTCTCTCATCCACCCACCTTCCCACCCACTCACCCACCCACCTTCCCACCCACTCACCCTCTCACCCACCTTCTCACCCACCCTCTCACCCTTTCACCCACCCACTCACCCACCCTGTCACTCACCCTGTCACTCACCCACGCACCCACCCAACAACCCTCTTCACCCTGCCAGCTCACCTTTTCGCAAGTCGCAAGCCGTGTCTCTCTGAGTCTCAGCGTAGCCGCCCGCCCCGGGGTGCCTGTGACTCTTCACCTCCTGCAGGAGGAGAGGAGGGCTCCCTCTGCCCTCCACCTGCAGCTGAAAAGCGCCGTGCGGGGCCGGCAGCCGTCCCCCACCCACCACCAGCATTGTCTGCGGTGATGTTGCCGCGTGCTGTTGCTGCTGCTGCTGCTGTTGCACAGCACAAATCGCTGCCGTTGCTGCTGCTGCCGCCGCTGCTGCTGCCGTGGGAAGTTCCAACAGCCTCAGTGGCCCCTGTGTGGCCAAAGCTGTCTCTGTGTGTGCTATCGGCACAACTGTTGATACGCTGCGGCCTCCGACGGCCAGCGGTTGCTGCTGGTTGCTGCTGCTGCTGCTGTTGTTGCTGCTGTTGCCGCCGCCGCTGCTGCTGTTGTTGTTGTGGTTGCTGTGTTGTTGTTGTTGATGGTGTTGGCCGCTACCGCTACCGCTGCTGCTACTACTGCTGCTGCTGCTGTTGCTATTGTTGCTGTGGTGTTGTTGTTGTTGTTGGTGGTGGTGGTGGTGATGCTGATTGTTGTGCTGGTGCTGCTGTTGCTGATGCTGCTGATGAGTTCCGCCGGTGGCTGCCAGGCCGCTGAGTCCGTGATGAGCGGCAAAATGAGCGTAGCCCGTGTATGCGGAATAGAAGGGGGAGCTGTAATAGACTGGCCTTGCGAGTCCCGCCGAGTTGGGATAAACGCACGCGGTGCCTGAACCGGTCCCGCCTACGACGCCGTTAGCTAAAGCGCACAAGTGCTGATGCTGCTGTTGATGATGATGCTGCTGATGCGGATGATGGTGGTGGTGGTGGTGCTGATGATGTTGCTGTTGTTGTTGCTGCTGCGTGGGTAGTTGACTCTGCTTGGCATCAGTGGCGCATGCAATTTCTGCCAGCGACCAAAGTTTTGGCTTCGGAGGTCCGCTGCTTTGCGATATTAATACAGACGCATCGCCACCACCACCACCACCACTCACACCACCACCTCCTCCTCCCATCACAACGCCACCACCACCGCCGCCGCCGCCGCCACCACCAACAATCACAACCCCCTGCAGAGCGTGAGAAGCGGGGGATGAGTCTCTGGGCGAGATGGCATCGGAGAGACTCGCGGCGTGGTTGATGATGTTGTTGCTGCCGCCGCTGTTGTTGATGTTGTTGTTGATGTTGTTGTTGATGTTGTTGTTGATGGTGGTGGTGGTGGTGGAGTGCTCGTCCTGCCTCAACGCGTCTCCCGGATCGAGATCGTCCCGCGGGGAGGCGCTCCGGTCGTGGTTTAAGAGATTGACTGCGAGGACAGGTGGGGAAATGAGATGATATCATCATCAACATCATCATCCTCAACATCATCGTCGTCGTCGTCGTCATCATCGGTAGCATCATCAGCAGCACTGTCATCATCATCAGCAACAGGAGCTTTGTCATCATCATCAACAGCAAAAGACTCATCATCATCAGCAGCACATCATCATCGGTAGCATCATCAGCAGCACTATCATCATCAGCAGCAGAAGACTCATCATTATCAGCAGCAGCAGCATCATCATCGTCATCATCGGTAGCATCATCAGCAGCATCACTGGCATCATCATCTGGAGCAGAATTCGCTGCATCATCATAACCACCACTATCATCAGCAGCAGCAATACTGTCATGATTGCTATCATTGTCATCAGCATCATCATCGGCAGCAGCAACAGCAGTAACATATGAGCAAAAGTATAATCATCATTATCATTAGCAGCATCACTATAATGATCAGTGTCAGCATCATCAGCAGCATCCTCATCGACATAATCAGCGTCATTGTAGGCTGTAATTCTTATCATCAGAAGTGTAGCAGCTGAGCATCATCACCAACATCATTGGTATGATCGGCAACACAGTAACTATCACTGTAATCATCATCAGCAGCAGCAGTAAGCAACGTTGCCATAAACATAATCAGCATTGTTATTATCCGTATCAGTGGTAATAGTAGCAGCAGCAGCAATATCATCAGCAAGAACAGAATCCGCATAATCATCAGCGGCATCGTTATTACTGTCATCATATTGATCATCATCAGCATCATCATTATCATCATCATCAGCGGCAACGGTAAATTAATATAATCATCGTTAGCAGCAGCAGTATCTCTATTAAAATGTCATCATCAGGAGCATCATTATTATCACCATCAGCAGAAACGTCAGCATTACTATCATTATCATCAGCAGCAGTAGCAATACAATCATCATCAGCAGCAGTAGCAATACATGCATCTTGAGCATTATCATAATGAGCAGCAGCAGTTGCAATAAAATCATCAGCAGCAGCATCATCAGCAGCATCTGCATTATCATCATCATCGCCATTGCGTTAACTCACGTAAGCGTCGTGTGTACAGTATACGTACAAATGTTGAAATTCTTTCGCACCGTAAGTATGTACGCTACGCACGCGTCATTTTCTATCAATCGCTCAATTACCGCAGTGTAAACATCTGCGTTCGTACGCCCGATGATAGTTATAGCGTAGACACACACACACGCACGTAGACATATCAACGTAAACACACGTAACAAATAGGCCGCTGGTGATCATCCTGACGATGTTCGCGATGTTCTTAGAGAGCTTCAGTTTGACACGTGCATAGTCGAGGTTACGTTTGTACCTGGGCTATAAATGTTTTTTTTGTATGTCACCAGGTAAGGCACACTGAGCCACACGGCTCTTATTCAGAAGCGACCTGGCGCAAATGATAGCTCAACGAAGTGGACTTATGATACTCTTTGGTTCTATTGGGTAAAGTCACGTAGGTGAAAATAAAATAACAAAAAATCACGACGTTTCGGCCACAACACAAGCGGCCTTCATCAGGTGAAGGGACGAGACTGTCTGGAGGACAGCGCTGTCCTCAATGTGGAGGGAAAACTCGGAGGACCCCGAGAAAAATCCACGCGACCACGGAGAGACAGAGAGAGACACGCAAACTCCAAATATACAGCGGACGTCAAGGTCGGGATCGAATCCTCCTGTATACCAGGCGAGGTAGTTAACATCCTCTAGTCACCGTGATGATGATGAGAGAGAGACACCGCGAACTCCAAATAAACAGCAGGCGGCAGGGTCGGGATCGAACCCACGACCTCCTGTACACCGGGCGAGGTAGTTAACATCTCCTAGCCACCGTGGCGAGATGTTAACTAAAGAAGCACTAACTGGGGAATGTAAAGTATGGGGTTGGCAGACTCAGCCTCGAGTTACACATTGCTGCTCAACGATCAAATACCCCCGTATAGCCTGAACAGAGTTTTATGGCGAGTGCCGTTGAGCGAATAGCACCTATGAAGGCCGGCACTGTGCGCGAGGCGGTGGGTGGCCAGCACTAGGCTCGTCCGCCTTTATCTCTCCAGTGGCGATGTTTACACACAGCGCCAGGTACCCATTACAGGCGGAGTCGACCTGGGTGTTGGTCGCGGGAATCGAACTCGGGTGTCGCCGGGTATCGCCGGGTTTCGTAGCGTGGTGCGCTAACTGCTTCACCACCCACTCCCCCGACCACGCTCACACATTACTCGGTCCAATGTCGGTGGACCGAGTAATTCGCCTCCCCCGCGGAGTGTGACGCTAAAGCCGACAGCGAGCACTGAACGCTACACGCTACACATTCAAAGTGATTTTCGTGGTTCGAACTACAACCGAGGCTGTGCACATCTCTCGTTTACGGCCCACCCGAGCCGGTGGTGGAAACTCCACATTCCCGTGGCGGGAACGAGGCAATCCACAGAACGACTGTTGACTTCCTTCCGCGAAGTGGTGCTGATTTTATCGACCCCCGGACGTCGGGATGATGGGCTGAATCAACCATCGCCCCAAACGAATATCATCAGCCTTCCGATGATTTTTCATATGCAATTTAATTTATTGTAATTATTAACATAGTTTCTTTGTTTGAATACGATCATAGAATACCTGATGCGCGCGATACGTTCACTTTGATACCTATATACATATGGGTCAAATTAAGAATGAGACGTATCGTTTTACAGACGCCGCAATATCGTCATACCGGTGGCTCCACGTGCGCGCGTGAGTGCGAAAATTGTTCGTAACAAAATAAAAATGTGTGTGTTTGGGGAAACGTAACCGGATCAAAACCGGTAACCGTTTTCAAAATCGCTTCGACCCGTTTCCGGCAACTCTCGCACGGGCCTGGTGAGAATTTCGAGGAATGCACGCGCGCTTGATTGGCGCGCGTGCAAGACGTACAAACGGCACGGCGGTATTAGTGACCGCGTGGTACATATTGCAAGAATACAAGACGTATCATGGCCCTCGAGTTATTCACGCGCGTGCGTCTGTGTGTGAGATTGTGTATATGTGTGTCTGTGTGTACGGCCTTCGCGTGCAGGTAAGCCTGGCACCAGCACCGTGGTGACGTCACCGCCACTTAGTGGCGAGTGGCGGCTGCTGTTGTTGTTGTTTTGATTTAAAGCTTTCGTGACTGCAGTGATTCATATTCTTGGTTCATTCGGTAAAGTCACGTTGAAGGGAAACAAAAAAATAATAAATATATTTGTATATAAAACAATAAAATTCTCACGACGTTTCGACTGTAACACAAACAGTCATCGTCAGGTGAGAATTTTATTGTTTTATATATATATTTGTATTATTTTATTGTTTCCCTTCAACGTGACTTTACCGAAAGAACCAAGAATATGTTGTTGTTGTCGTGTACAGAGTAATCAATGCTGCTTGCTGGGGAGCTTCTACAACTACACATGGGCACGACGTGCACCTGGCCTGGCACCGGCAGCAATATAAACTTTCGTCGCTGTCGATGCAGTGTTGAACGCAAAGTTGCGTGAATGCCAGCAGACATCACCATCGCATCTTTTACCTGTCAATAATTAGGTCACGTTTTACGTAATGAACACAACGATTAATATAACTCGGTCAAAATAGACGACGTTAACTTTGACGACTCAACGTCATTTGCGGCAAAATAAAGCGGCAATTCCACGTGTGCTTGAGTCGTCAAACTATGCATTGACGCGACTATTGCGTCTGTATGTACGTGTGTCTGTATAGAGGTGCTCGCTAACAGCACTTGCTCCTACAGTCTATGAAGGCTATACGGGGGATCTTTGTTTTTTGTGTACGTATAAAAAATGTAGTATGTAATCGGGCATAATGCAATGTCTGTTTATATATATGGATTGTGTTTTATGTGTATGTGTAGAATGGGCGATCCATTTGCAGATGCCCCATTCAGTTCAAATGCCCCCACCTCTTAATATGGAACATCTCAGTTGAATGACGTTAGTAAAGCGATGATGGCTCCGTATCTTTACAGAGTGGAGAGAGGTAAACTTACTTAATAAGTTGTATTGACATTGGTGGAAGACGTGCAGCTTTCTCTATAATTAATCCGTTATTGTAGTGAGGCATCTACAAATGGATCACCACGTGTTACACAAAATGTGTCCGCGTGTGTGTATGTATATGTGTGCGTGTCAAAATGTATGACGTACGTATGCTCGCATGCATGCATGTATATACGAAATTGTACATACTATAACGCGCGTGTGTGTGAATCTATCGGCATGTGTCATCCGTATATCATGTAAATGTGTTAAAATATATTTAACCAAAATGCTCCAAAATTAATAACTAATTTAACTTTTGATAACAAAACATATTTTCACCACAAATTACATTTTAAGAAATAAAATAAATATTCACCTCAGTATATTTTCAATATCGATCCACAACTACAACAAATATATATATAAAAACTGCTAATTATATATATTTTTGCAACACGTGAAGTTGAGTCGTTGCCCGAAACGTCGCCTACTGTATTTGTTTTTTGAGAAGTGTGTTGACTTTGTTAACTGTTACTTGTGCATCACTGCCAAGGCAGCAGCAACAGCAATACATATACATTTCCAGACACTTCTTAATTGAAGTTGTAATAAACTGAATAATGTTTTACTTTAAATCATAAAAAAAACCTTATGAATATTTAAAGAGCGGCTTGCGTGAAATGTCACGTGTTGATTATGTAGGGTTATTAATGTGATTTACACGTTCCCTGACGTACAAGGGCAAGTATGCATTTGTACAAAATGTGTGTATACATATATGTATGTGTGTGTAGGTGTGTGTATGTGTGTGCGTGCGTATGTGTAGGTGTGTGTAGGTGTATGCGTGTGTAGGTGTATGTAGGTGTGTGTAAGTGTATGCGTGTGTAGGTGTGTGTAGGTGTATGCGTGTGTAGGTGTATGTAGGTGAGTGTAAGTGTATGCGTGTGTAGGTGTGTAGGTGTGTGTAGGTGTGTGCGTGCGTGTGTGTAGGTGTGTGTAGGTGTGTGTAGGTGTATGCGTGTGTAGGTGTATGTAGGTGTATGTAGGTGTGTGTAGGTGTATGTAGGTGTGTGTAGGTGTATGTAGGTGTGTGTAGGTGTGTGCGTGTGCGTGCGAGTCGGGAGGGGTAGTGTTGTGGTTAGCGCGTTGCGCTACGAACCTGCCCCCCCGGGTTCGAATCCCGCTCACGACCAGCAACAGTGACGATCATCTGAACCGATCCTCGACCTTCCCTAGGTCGGCTCAGTCTCAAATTAATACATGGGTGCGGTTTGTAAACATCGCCACTTGGGAGACAAAGGCGGCCGGGTGTGGTGCTGGCCACCCACCCCCTCGTGTGACGTTGCTGTCTTCATGGGTGCTCACTAACGGCACTTGCCCCAAGAGACTGTTCAGGCTATACGGGGGATCTTTGTCTTTGCGTGTGCGATATGCGAGTGGAGCATGCTAATTACTTTTGCGGAGGAGCGGTGGCGCAGTGGTTAGCGCACAGCGAGACTATGCAAATAATTGGTGTTTAAAAAATAGGTAATATTGTTTCCACTTATTGATGGGAATAATATAAAATAATGTAATTAATAAATCCAACGAATATTCGCACGAAATTGAGAAAGGTAAGATATTAAAAATAGAAAAATGAATGGCATCATTAGTAACCCTAATTACGATTAACACAGACACATATCCCCCCTATAGCCTTAACAGACATTGGGACAAATGCTGTTAGCGAGCACCTATGAAGGCCGGAACAGCGCACGAGGAAGTGGTTGTTGCCAGCAACCACGCCCGACCGCCTTACTACAAAACGACACCAGGTACTCATTTGAGGCTGAGTTGACCGAGGCAAAGCCAAGGACCGGTCCAGATGATCGTTACTCGTGTCTGTCGTGAGCGGGAATCGAACTCGGGTCGCCAGGTACATATAGCGCAGCGCGCTAGCCGCTACGCTACCGTGCCCCAACAGCGCACACACTCACCCAAACACAAATGTACGTACGTACACTCACATCGTAAGTTGTCATTCCCAACCCTGACGTGTCACTAATTTGTTTATTTATTCCCCATTACAATTCACAACGTCTCGTTCAATACACATATTCAATTGGTACAGTAAAGTCGAAAGCTTATTATTCACTCGAATGCTCACTAGTAATTATGTTAACATTTGCCTTGTCTTTGTGTGCGTGATGTGTGTGTGGGGAGCGGTGGCGCAACGGTTAGCGCCCCAATGCGCTACGAGGCCTGCCAGCCGAGTTCGATTCCCGCCCACGGTCGATTGCAGCGGCGAATATTTGAACCGGTTCTGGGCCTCCCCCTGGGTCGACTCAGCCTCAAACGAGTACCCGATGCGGTGTGTGCAAACGTAGGAGTGTTTTACTTCTTTCGCACCGTACGTAGCCAACCGTGCGAACCGGAGGTGCCGGTGGAAGGGCGGCAAACGATGCACAAATAAATGAGGTTTCAATATAGAATCATCAACAGTGGGGAGGCGAAGAAGGCGTCCACACTCCCTTGTGCGCCGTGTCAGCATTCATAGTCGCGTGCGTCTGTACGTGTGTGTGTCTGTACGTGTGTGTGTGTCTACGTGTGAGTGTACGTGTGTCTGTACGTGTGTGTGTGTCTGTACGTGTGTCTGTACGTGTGTGTGTGTCTACGTGTGAGTGTACGTGTGTCTGTACGTGTGTGTGTGTGTGTGTCTGTACGTGTGTGTGTGTACGTGTGTGTGTCTGTACGTGTCTGGGTGTGTCTACGTGTGAGCGTGCTTGTGTCTGTATGTGTGAGTGTGTGTCTGTACGAGTGTGTGTCTGTACGTGTGTGTGTGTGTCTAAGTGTGTGTGTCTGTACGTGTGTGTGTCTACGTGTGGGTGTACGTGTGTCTGTACGTGTGTGTGTCTGTACGTGTGTCTGTACGTGTGTGTATGTCTGTACGTGTGAGTGTGCGTGTGTCTGTACGTGTGTGTGTCTGTATGTGTGAGTGTACGGCTGTGCGTGTGTCTATACGTGTGCGTGTGTCTGTACATGTGAGTGTGTGTGTGTCTGTACGTGTGAGTGTGCGTGTGTCTGTATATGTGAGTGTGTGTGTCTGTACGTGTGAGTATGTGTGTGTGTGTACGTGTGTGTGTGTATCTGTACGTGTGTGTGAGTGTGTGTGTCTGTACGTGTGAGTGTGCGTTTGTGTGTCTGCACGTGTGAGTGTGTGTGTCTGTGCGTGTGTGTGTGTGCGAGTGTGTGTGTCTGTACGTGTGGATGTGCGTGTGTCTGTGTGCGTGTGAATGTGCAAGTGTGTCTCTGTACGTGGCCCCGTGCGCGTTAATTCATCAATTGACTCGTTAATTAACGATTGCGACGCGTGTAAACAGATTTAAATTTAAACACACACACGCACAGATACCCCCGTTTAGCCTTACAGACTATTAAGGGCAGGCCGCTGTTAGCGAGCACCTATTAAGGCTGGGACGGTGCGCGTGGCCATAAACGCATCTGCTGATGCTTGTGAACACACATTACCGCATCATGTGATAATTTAAGGCTGAGTCGACCTAGGGGAGGCCCTTGACAGTTTAGGTAGCAATTAGCCTCCGGTGGTGATATGTAACTCTTTCAGATAGAGATCACCCGGACAGGCAAACTGTCTACCGGGGCAAGTTCTGTCACCGAGAATCTATGATGGCCGAGGAGAGGGAGGGGGGGTTGGCGATAGCACCACGCCCGGCCGCCTTTGTTTCCCCAGTGCTGGAGGTGTCACGCGTCACCGGGGTACTCAATTAATGCTGAACCGATCATCGGGGCCAGTTCTGATCGATGTCGCCACTGAAGTTGGCCTTCATCGAAAATCGAACATTGTTCTCAGCGCAGTGCGCTATCCATTGCGCCACCGCTCCCCACAAAGAGAAAGATCCCCCCCCGCCCCGTGTAGCCTTAACAGACTGTAGGGGCAAGTGCTGTTAGCGAGCACCTATGAAGGCCGGCACTGTGGCACACGAGGGGTGTGGGTGGCCATCACCACGTGCGACCGCCTTTGTCTCCCCAGTGGCGATGTTTACACACCGCACCAGCTAATCATTTGAGGCTGAGTCGATCTATGGGAGGCCCAGATAATCGTCACCAGCGGTGGCCGTGAGCACACACATACACGGCTCCCCATAGACCAATAAACACACGCATATGCACGCGTACGCAAACATTGCCATACGCTAACACTTTATAGACTGCACACTTGGTCATGCAGTATATATTCTCGCTCACTCACTTGCACGTCCATACCTCTCCACACTCACACACTCGCATACCTCAGGCTAGGTGCACCTCCACATACCCGCAGATATACTCCTACACACACGCAGATACTCTCCTAACCATCTCTACACACCTCCACGGACACACACACTCCACACACACTCCACACACACACACACACTCCACGGACACACACTCCACACACACTCCACACACACACACACTCCACACACAATCCACACCTCGACACCAGGAGTAATGTCTCGCTGGTAGACTGGAGTAGTCGTAGGCACGTGACGATCGCCTACCGCCATATCGAGAGGTATACTGGATGTGGTGCGCCGAGTGCGGAGGTAGTTTCCAGGTCAGACAGACTCGGATTAAACCCAGGCCTGCACACCAACACGCACCAATCCTCCTGCTCTCCCCTCCTCCTCTAATCTCACCCCTCTCATCTCCTCCCCTCCATCTCCCTCCTCCTCCACCGCCGTCCTCCATCTCCCCCCCCTCCCTTTTCTCTCATCTCCTCCTCCGGTCTCATTCTCCTCATCTAGTCTCACCACCACCCTCCTCCTCATGTCCTCTCCTCCATATCCCTACTCTCTCTCTTATCACCACACTCCACTATCCTCCTCCATCCTCCTCCTCCATCCTCCCCCATCCTCATCCTCCTCCATTCTCCATCATCCTCCTCCTCCTCCTCCTCCATCCTCCTCCTCCATTCTCCATCATCCTCCTCCATCCTCCTCCTCCATCATTCTCCTCCATTCTCCATCCTCCTCCATCCACCACCACCCCCCTCTCACCTTCCCCGTCGTGCGCCGCCGCGCTCAGCCCTTTCTCGGGCGACTCGGCGTCGTCGTCCGTCTTCTCGAGGTCGATGGTCGCGTCCTCCTCCTCCTCCTCCTCGTCCTCGCTCTTGGCGCGCGGCGCCCACGTCACCTTGTTCTCCTTCTTGAGACGCCGGCGCGCGTTCGCGAACCACGTGGAGACCTGCGTGAGGGTCATCTTGGTGATGATGGCCAGCATGATCTTCTCGCCCTTGGTGGGGTACGGGTTCTTGCGGTGCTCGTTGAGCCACGCCTTGAGCGTCGCCGTGGCGTCTCGGGTCGCGTTCTTCCGGTAGGCCGCGTCCGAGTAAGGATAGGGCCCCAGCGGGGTGCCGTAGGGGTGGTAGGCGGCAACACCTCCGGCCAGACCTGGGCCCGTGGGGTCGTACGGGGATGCCTGGGGGCGAGGGGGTGCGAGTGAGAGAGTCGGGGGGAGCGGGTAGCGTATGGGGGTTAGCCGCGTGTCGCGCTGGAGCTGCGCTTCGACTGCCGAGGCGTGGAACCCGAGTTCGATTCCCGACCACGGCCGCCCCACCTAACGCCTGCGACGATTGTCTGGGTCAGGTTCGGACTCAGATGGGCACCAGGTGCGGTGCGTGAATATCGTCACTAAGGGAGACAAAGGCGGCCGGGCGTTGGTTTTCTGGCCACCCATCACGTCGAGTGCCGTGCCGGCCTTCATAGGTGCTACTCGTTCGCTCACCGCACAAGCCCCAAAAGTTTGTGAATGCTATGCGGGGGATCTTTGTCTCTGTGTGAGCGGAGGTGTGTGAGCGTGAGAGGGCACAAGAGCGACGCTCACAACAGCGAGCCGAGTGCCGGGCGGATAAAACGCAGCGAGGGGCACAGGTGGTGCATCTGTCAGTCATCTCAGCCACTCGGGTCTGTCCCCTGACCTCGACACTTCCCGTGGCCTCAATGTGCACGTAGCCTGGCACAAGCGCTGTGGTGTTGTGTGATCGAGAGTTTGAGAGAGAGAGAGACGGGTGGATGTTTTTTTGAGGATTGAGTGAGACAGAGATGAATGTGTGTGTGTGTGATAGAGAGTATACCACACCGGACCTCATGGGTGTACGCACACAGCACTTGCCTCAAAACTATGTGTAGGCTATGAGGGGGATCTTTGTTTGTGTGTGAGAAAGTGAGTGTCGGTGGACGTGAGAGTAAGTTAAGAGTCACGTCGGAGTGTGTGACGTGGAGTGAGAGTGTGGGTGAGATTGTGCGTGAGAGTGTGGGTGACGGTGTGGGTGAGGGTGTGGGTGAGTGTGTGGTTGAGGGTGTGGGTGAGGGTGTGGGTGAGAGTGTGGGTGAGAGTGTGGGTGACGGTGTGGGTGAGGGTGTGGGTGAGAGTGTGGGTGAGGGTGTGGGTGAGGGTGTGGGTGAGGGTGTGGGTGAGGATGTGGGTGAGGATGTGGGTGAGAGTCTGAGTGAGAGTGTGGGTGAGTGTGTGGGTGAGGGTGTGGGTGAGGGTGTGGGTGAGAGTGTGGGTGTGGGTGAGGGTGTGGGTGAGGGTGTGGGTGAGAGTCTGGGTGAGAGTGTGGGTGAGTGTGTGGGTGAGGGTGTGGGTGAGGGTGTGGGTGAGAGTGTGGGTGTGGGTGAGGGTGTGGGTGAGGGTGTGGGTGAGAGTCTGGGTGAGAGTGTGGGTGAGTGTGTGGGTGAGGGTGTGGGTGAGAGTGTGGATGACAGTGTGGGTGAGTGTGTGGGTGAGGGTGTGGGTGTGGGTGAGAGTGTGTGTGAGAGTGTGGGTGAGTGTGTGGTTGAGGGTGTGGGTGAGGGTGTGGGTGAGAGTGTGGGTGTGGGTGAGGGTGTGGGTGAGAGTGTGGGTGAGGGTGTGGGTGAGGGTGAGGGTGTGTGTGAGAGTGTGGGTGAGTGTGAGAGTGTGGATGACAGTGTGGGTGAGTGTGTGGGTGAGGGTGTGGGTGAGGGTGTGAGTGTGTGTGAGAGTGTGGGTGAGTGTGTGGTTGAGGGTGTGGGTGAGGGTGTGGGTGAGAGTGTGGGTGTGGGTGAGGGTGTGGGTGAGAGTGTGGGTGAGGGTGTGGGTGAGGGTGTGTGTGAGAGTGTGGGTGAGTGTGTGGGTGAGGGTGTGGGTGAGGGTGAGGGTGTGGGTGAGAATGTGTGTGAGAGTGTGGGTGAGTTTGTGGGTGAGGGTGTGGGTTAGGGTGTGGGTGTGGGTGAGAGTGTGGGTGAGGGTGTCGGTGAGAGTGTGTGTGAGAGTGTGGGTGAGTTTGTGGGTGAGGGTGTGGGTGAGGGTGTGGGTGATGGTGTGGGTCAGGGTGTGGGTGATAGTGTGGGTGAGTTTGTGGGTGAGGGTGTGGGTGAGGGTGTGGGTGAGGGTGTGGGTGAGGGTGAGTTAGCCTTGGTGTGAGTGAGTGAGTGTGAGAGTGAACCTGAGCGAGTGTGGGTGGGATTGTGAGTGATCTTTGGGCGGTGTGATAGTGTGATATTGTGTAAGTGGGAGTGTGAGCATAATAGAGAGTGTGGGAATGGATTGATGCGTGTGAGTGTGCGTGCGCGCGTGTGTGTGTGTGAGAGTGAGTTTGGTCGTGCGTTTGTGTAAACTAGCGAGTGTGAGTATGAGTGGGAGAAAGTGAGTGTTTGTGTGTGTGTGGGAGAGTGAGTTTGGCTGGGAGTGTGTATGTATGTGAGAGTGAGTGTGTGAGTGAGTGTGTGAGTGTGCGTAAGGTAGGGGTGGGTTGGGTAGGTGAGTGAGTAAGAGTGTGAGTGAGGGAGTGTGAATTAGTAGGAGTGTGTGGGAGACCGTATTTATGTGTGCATGCACAAAGGTGTGAGAGTGTATGAGAGAAAGTGAGAGGGTGTGTTAGAGTGTGAGTGTGTGAGTGTGTGAGAGTGTGAGGGTGTGAGTGTGTGAGAGTGTGAGGGTGTGAGTGTGTGAGTGTGTGAGTGTAAAGGTGTGAGTGTGTGAGTGTGTGAAGGTGTGAGTGTGAAGGTGTGAGTGTGTGAGTGTGTGAGTGTGTGAAGGTGTGATTGTGTGAGGGTGTGTGTGTGAAGGTGTGAGTGTGTGATTGTGTGAGTGTGTGAATCTGTGAGTGTGTGAGTGTGTGAATCTATGAGTGTGTGAAGGTGTGAATGTGTGAGTGTGTGAAGGTGTGAGTGTGTGAGTCTGTGAGTGTGTGAAGATGTGAGTGTGTGAGTGTGTGAGGGTGTGAGGGTGTGAGTGTGTGAGTGTGTGAGAGTGTGAGTGTGTGCGTGAGGGTGTGAGTGTGTGAGTGTGTGAGGGTGTGAGTGTGTGAGTGTGTGAAGGTGTGAAGGTGTGAGTGTGTGAGTGTGAAGGTGTAAGTGTGTGAGTGCGTGAGTGTGTGTGTGTGAGTGTGTGAGAGTGTGAGTGTGTGAGTATGTGAGTGTGTGAGAGTGTGAGGGTGTGAGTGTGTGAGTGTGTGAGGGTGTGAAGGTGTGAGTGTGTGAGTGTGTGAAGGTGTGAAGGTGTGAGTGTGTGAGTGTGTGAGGGTGTGAGTGTGTGAGTGTGTGAGTATGTGAGGGTGTAAGTGTGTGAGTGTGTAAGCGTGTGAAGGTGTGAGTGTGAATCTGTGAGTGTGAGTGTGTGTGAGTGTGAGTGTGTGAGGGTGTGAGTGTGTGAGTGTGTGAGTATGTGAGGGTGTAAGTGTGTGAGTGTGTAAGCGTGTGAAGGTGTGAGTGTGTGAAGGTGTGAGTGTGTGAGGGTGTGAGTGTGTGAGTGTGAGGGTGTAAGTGTGTGAAGGTGTGATTGTGTGAGGGTGTGTGTGTGAAGGTGTGAGTGTGAAGGTGTGAGTGTGTGAGTGTGTGAAGGTGTTAATGTGTGAGTGTGTGAGGGTGTGAGTGTGTGAGTGTGTGAATCTGTGAGTGTGTAAGCGTGTGGAGGTGTGAGTGTGTGAGTGTGTGAGGGTGTAAGCGTGTGAGTGAGTGAGTGTGTGAAGGTGTGAGTGAGTGTGTGAGTGTGTGAGTGTGTGAGGGTGTGAGTGTGTGAGTGAGTGAGTGTGTGAAGGTGTGAGTGTGTGAGGGTGTGAAGGTGTGAGTGTGTCAGTGTGTGAGTGTGTGAGGGTGTGAACGTGTTAATGTGTGATGGTTTGAACGTGTTTATGTGTGAGTGTGTGAACGTGTTAATGTGTGAGTGTGTGAATCTGTAAGTGCGTGAAGATGTGAGTGTGTGTGAGAGAGAGAGAGTGTGATGGTGTAAGAAAGTGGGTAGCTGTGTGGCTTCAACTGTGTGGGTGATATCACGTGCGGGGAGTAGTTGCCTAGCGGTTAGTGCACTAGTATCTGGTGTGTAAAAGTCGCCAATGGGGAGACAAAGGCGGCCGGGAGTGGTGCTGGCCACCCACCCTCTCGTGTGCCGTTCATAGGTGCTCGCTAACAGCAATAACCACAAAAGTATGTTGAGACTATAAGGGGGATATTTGTCTTTGTGATGAGTGTGTGTGTGTGTGTACACGTGTGATGTGTGTGCAGTTGTGTTTGTGTGTGTGTGATCAAGTGTGGGTTTGTGCAGGTGTGTGGATGCAATCGTCCATGCGTGTGTATTTTGTGTGTGCGTGTGCAAGTTAGAGTGTGTATGTCTACCGGTGTGTATGTTCAAAAGTGTTATTGTGAGCGCATGTGTGTGAACGCGTGTTTGCACAAGTGCGTGCAGCTTCCGTTTGGCCTGATAGAGGGGGCTAAACGTGCGCGGCACGGGCTAGAGAAGAGATGGAGCTGATGCGGTACAGGAGGATTTGGAGCAGGGTGGACCTGCCGACGACCGGTACCAGCGGTGTCAAGATCGGCCTCTGTGGAGGAGGAGGCTCGTGAAGGACGCCGCTGCTACCGGGGCAGTTGGAGGCAGTCGCCCTCCATCAACAACGGAGATCGGGAGGAGCGACGCTCACAACAACGCGCGCAGCGATGGTCGGTTAAAACGCATCGAGTTGCAGGGAGCGCAGGTGGTGCATCTGTCAGTCATCTCGGTCAGCCAAACCCATGGCACCTGGGTCAGTCCCGTGACCACCCGTCAGCGAGCCTCTGAAACTGCACTTGAACCCAAAGTGCACCTTGCCTGGCACGGGCGCTGCGGTGACGTCACAGCAACTTAGTGACGAACGGTGGCGAATGTTGTTGTTGTTGCTGTACAGGTGTCTGTGTGCTCAAGTATGTGTGTGTTTAGGTCAAGTGTGTGTGTGTGTGTAGGCCAAATGTGCCTGTAAGTGATAAATACGTGCGCGTGCGCGTGTGTGTGTGCGGTGTTGTGTGTGGGGAGCGGTGGTGTTGCGGTTAGCGCGCTGCGATGCGAACCCGGCGACCCGAGTTCGATTCCCGCACACGGCCACCACCAGTGACGATTATCTGAAACGGTCCTGAGCCTCCCTTAGGTCGACTCAGCCTCAAATCAGTGCCTGGGGAGACAAAGGCGGTCGGGCCGTGGTGCTG